ATGTCGTAATTTCTAAATTATCACACTGCTTCAGTGTTTGTCTTAAAGTACATGACTCTTCAGCCACTCAATATTTTTCAGGATGTTGTGACGTTATCTAATTAGCAAATTGATTATTTTACATTTTAGTGCAGTGGTGATTTACGAAAAAGCTTATCAAGAGAACAGATTGAACATTCTCCATTTTAAACATAAACCTTGTGGAGCCCTCCCAAGTGTGTGCGCAGTATTTATGACAAAAATAAAAATAAGGATCATCAGGATAAGGCTAATCTCAAAACTTTTTCTCTAATCTTCAGACCTTTTATAGTATCTTATTTAAAATGAACTTTTGCAGAGTATTACATGCATCTATCAGTAAAGTAATCGGCAGTACCTTTTTTTACTCATGGATTTTTTAAATCTGTGCCAATTAAACTGAAGATGAAATATGCATTGGTTGTGTTAAATAACTGAGGAAATAAATACTTTCAATGTAGCATATTTATATGCATAGAGTAATATTGCAGCAATTTTGAGCAGATCCTTGAAAAAATGGAGTTCCTAGAGTTAGCTGAGTTTTTTTTTCTGTGGCAAAGGGGAAAGCCATGCACATTATTTTTCTGCATTATTTTCATTATTTTGGTTTTAAAAACACATCCTTGGTTTTGTGGGTAAAGTGGCTGCATATCGTTCTTGACATCTAGCTTTGTCACTGGTGTTGTCTAATGTGCACCTGAATCTTAAATATGAAATGGTGTTAATAGAGTTGTTTAAGTGGAATAAACCTTCTTGTTATTAAGCAGGCTACCCAGTTGTTGCATGGAAGTGTTTCCATTCTATTTCATTTAAAATGTTAATGAAAAATTCATTAAATGCTTTCTTCAATAATCATTTTATGATAGGGAGTTACAGTGCAGAAAGCAGAGTGCCCCATGTCTACAGGACCCCAATTATAACTTACCTGTATATTGTGTCATCCCATTTCATATTTACATTGACAATCATTTGACAAACTGTTTATTCACAAATTGATAAATGCAGTCCCATTGTTACCTGAGGAAAAACACCCTAGTTTTATTCCAGTTATTGCACAATGTTGTTGTTTTGGAAGTACCTGTGGACCAGTTTGATTACCCTTTTTATCCCAAACTGTGTGAAGTTTCAGTTCTTTGCCTAGGCCAGATGACTCATTTCATGAATGAGAGTTGTCTCATTGTGGACTGATCGCCTTGGTTTGTTGTAGTGCTTATCTTGGACTAAAACGTGTACAGTTTTTTCCTGCATTCTCTTTTTGCAAGAACATCAGGTTGTTTCAGCATCCCAGGTTGGGAGCACATATTCACTGCAGCCTATCAGAGCAATGCATCTTTATGGCTGGCCCTCATTTACTGGCCTGAAATTGTGTTTAGGGATGCAGGTAGCCACATTTTGGTCTGGTGTCTTGTAAAACCCAGTGATTAAAGTTATAAAACCCAGGTGAAGTTGTGAATCAACTAAATATGAAGGGAAGTGCCGACACTGGTTTTTCTGTGTTCTTCAGCACCAGAGGGGGTCAACTGGAAAACAAAATCGAGAGCAGCTTCTGAAATTTGACTAGTATTATGGAAAGTAAATAGCGATGTGGTTGAGGATGTGGTAGTGACGACAAAATGAAAGAAGACCTGTGTCCTTAACGCAGTGGTCTGAAAGCACTTAATGTGCAGTGCACTGTTCCTAAAATAGCAGATATTACCCATGGCTGACAATTTGGAAGCAATTACACCATTTAATATTAACTACAATTTCTCACTAGAAGGCATTGACTGCATTGTTTTATCTGACAAATGAGCTAGAAATTGTGACAAAACTCTTACCGTTCTTAAACATTTTGTTTAGAATGAATTTTTCAATTTTCCAATATTAGATATATATATAAGGTTATAGTGTACTAAAACTTAGTTTTTTAGCTTAGCAGCTTGAAATTAATTATGTTAAGCAATATATTCATGCCTCTTGTTCTTTACAGGCAAGGTCTGTTTAACTAGGTTAAGTTAAGGTTAAGTTTAACTAGGAAGGAGCATTTAAAAAATGCAGTAAAAAGTTTCATTATTGAATTTAATTAAATCTTCCCTTCCTTACAAATGAATTTCTGAGCATCAGTCAGTGTGCAGAATTTATTTTTGTTGTAAGCGTAAAACACTTCTGAAATTCTCCTTTCACAACAAATCCTTTCTCCTGAAATCCTGTGTGTGAGCCACTTCTGTTTTTAATAACTTATGATTTTGTTTTGCGCGTTTTCTAGTTCCTTTCCACACAGCTCGTTTGTAGGTTTTATTTGGAAGGATTTACCATGGTCAGGCAGTTCAATATGAGCTACCCAAAGATGGAAACATTTAGAACCTTATGAAATATAATAAACCCCCTGAAAGGCAATTCAGCATTGGCTGTTTATTGCATTATGGAAATGGTTCACTGTATTTTGTCTTGGTTAAAGACTTCATTTTAAGCACATAATTGTTGCTAACATGAAGAGTCCTTGAAAAAATTGGCCCATTTTTTTTTTTATTTGCTTATTTTTCTTTTCTGAGCACAGGCTTAAGCACATCCGTGGAAGGGAGCAAAACTGGGTTTACATTTATGTCACAACTGTTAATGTACATTCATTAGAGGCACATCATCCTTCATAATAATGCGGGCAAAAGGAAAAAGCACTAGGCACTGCTGCTAATCCTATTTCTAGTTAGACAAGAACACATCATGGGGCTTGTTAAATCCACTATTCAAACAAAAGGAAATGAAGACACCTCCTAAAGCAAAAGTTCCCTCCAATACTTCTGACTTTCCCAAATCTAACACATGAAAATAGGTCGGCTTTGTTTACCTTGTATGGGATGATGAGTCAGTCACCGAACACACCCTTCTATGTGCTTTTGAATAACCTTTTAGCAGTACCCAGCAGTGGTGCATCTAAAATGTGCTTTTCTTTAATTCTTTTAGGTGAATTTGGTCAAAGTGCCCTAAGGAGCACTTCTACACTGGATAACTGATGATTGAGAAAGATACTTCCATGTAGATTATTATGTACCTTGCTGTTTTTGATAAAATAATTGTTTTGAAGGATTGATAAATATGGGACTTTCTTGAGCCCTTGGCCACGTAGTGTGCTAGTGCCTAAACCATAGGCTTACCGAAACCCTCACCAGGATAAATGACTTTCTGATATTATCTTACTGTTGTGGGAAATCCCTTCATCAGAGGAGCAGAACACAGTCTTGCGTGGATTCAGTTATTTTATTGAGCTCAATAATGACATCAACGCACGTTGGGTCTGCCCCGCAGAACAGACAACCTGCAAGGGTTTCCCAGCTCTTATATACAGTATGATCTCAGGAAGAAGTTTTGTTTCACCGCTTCATTGGTATTCGTCTTTCCCTTTGATGTGAGTTGACCAGTTCGTCCTGTCCCAAGTCCTGTCCTTTGATGTAGCTGTCCTTTGATATTTAGCATGAGTTGACCAGTTTGTCCTGTCCCATGTCCTGTACTTTGATGTGTCCTGTCCCAAGTCCTGTTCTTTGATATGTAGTGTAATTATTGGAGCTGCTTAAAATATGTTAAGACAACCGACATATTACACAATGTGTTTGAATTAATACTGTAGTGCTGAATACAGATCAATTATATATATATATTTTCCATTAAAAATATATATACAGTATGTTTTATGTTCTACTTCACTTACTTACTGTACATGAGCAACA